ACCAAGTGACTGCAAGCCGAACCTACACCCACTCGAGACTCATCAGTTGTACTCGAGACTCATCAGTTGTACTCGAGACTCATCAGTTGTACTCGAAAGATTAGCACCCTCCATCTGGAGTTTAAGTGTGTTTGTTTATGTGTTTTCTTGTTGGTTGATTGCTTGGTTTGGGTTGGGTTGAGTCGGGTTGGGTTGAGTGGGCTGTGTGTTTGTTTGTTTGTTTGTTTGTTTGTTTGTTTGTTTGTTTGTTTGTTTGTTTGTTTGTTTGTTTGTTCAGGTTTCGTGTGTTGTTTGTGTATCTTTCTTTGGTGATGAATGTTTTGTTTTTGTTTGTTGCGTTGCCTTCCTTCCTGGAGCACCCTTCGTTACCTAAATTTCTGCCCTTAGCCCAAACGTATTGCAAAACGGGCGAGCGTTTTTTCGGGGGGTCGCGCAGAAATTGGTAATTTGAGCGTTTTTTCTCGTACCTAAAAAAAAAGGCACGTTTGGTGCCTCAGGTTGTTTGCTTGTTTGTTTTTTGCTTGTTTAATACCTTTGCTTTGCGCTGCCTTGGTTTGCTTGTTTGTTTATGTGTATGTTTGTTTCTTTGTGTAGCGTTGTGTTGCGGTTTGATTATGTGTTTTTTGTTGGTTGGCTCGTTGCTTGCTTGCTCGCTTGCTTGCTTGCTTGCTCGCTTGCTTGCTTGCTTGCTTGATTGCTTGGTTGCTTGGTTTGGATTGATTTGGATTGGTTGTTGGCTGGTTTGATTTGGCTTGTTTCTTTGGTGGGTTTTGTGTTGTTTTGCTTTGTTGTTTGGTTGCATGGCTGCTTTTCTTTAATTGGTTTTATGTTTATCTGCTTTGCGTTGCGTTGCGTTGCGCTGTTTTGCTTGTTTGATCGTGTTGTGTGTTTATGTGTTTGTTTGTTGGTTGGCTGCTTGGTTTGGTTTTGTTTGGTGAGATTTGAATTGGTTGTTGGCTGGTTTGTTTTGGTTTGTTTGTTTGTTGGTTTGCGTTTGGATCCTGTCTTTGTTTTTGCTAGTTCCGGTTGGGGTTTACCCCCGGTTGACCAGAGGGTTCGTTCGTAGTAGTGCTAGCAGTGCTAGTCGTTCAGTAGTAGTCCTAGTAGTAGCACAGGTAAAAACGCTCAAACGATAGGAACATCCTAGATTGTCATGGAACTTGAGCTGTTTTCTGGGCAACTCCGCAGATCCAGGGTTGTCGCCCGATTCTTTGGTGTGGTTTGATAAGCCCTTTTTTGCCGTCGGTAGATCAATTAGCTGTCGGGCGCGGTTATGAAAGTTTTGGGCTGCTTTGGGATTGGTTCTGGGGCGTTGCCAGCAAACCTAGCCCAAAACTCCCGCAACCACATGAATAAAAAATCAAGCCTAAAGCCGCTGCTAGACCAGCCGCGCACCTAGCCCAAAGCTAGCACCAATCAACCTCAAGCCAACCAAAGCTGACCCGAAGTCAATCTTAAACCCGCCCAACAGCATTCTGGATAACAGCCTTTTGGTGAGCCTACAAGAACCCCAAACAAACCCAAGACCAGCTCTCATTCAGACCTCAGCAAGCCCAAGCCCCGAGCCACTCTGAACTGCCACAAAATCACAGAAGGCCGAGCAAGGCGGTGATGTTGGGGAGCTTGCCCATGATGGGTCCCCGCCTCAAGCCCACGCATATGCCGAACTTCGCCCATACTTCCTGTTTTGGACATCACCTTTGGGCCAGTTGCCAAAGACACCCAAGGCTTGGGGGCTAGAACTCAGTGGATTGCACGCTCTACACCCCGTGGACGCCGGGTTTGGGACATAGAAATAGAGCATACATACACAGAATGAGTAGGTTTACAATACATTGGCAAGTTGTGCAGATGTTTCGTATGTTCCTGGGCCAACATTGGGAATCAACCCCAAAAGGGTTGCCGTTTTGTTCTACCTTTCGGGTCCGACAGCTCGAGGTCGCCGTTCCACGAGTATGCCTCCAGCATGTTGCAGGCGGCGCTGTCGCAGGGCATGAAGGCGCGGGCAGAATGTGGGAGCCCAGTTGAGAAGTACATTCCTGCAGATTAACTTGAAATTAAAGAATAATGGATTCCTCCAAAAGATTCCTCCATAATGTCGACTTCATATTAGTGAACGGGTTCCCCCCCCTCAACTGTTTTTTGTTTAATACTTGTATAGTAGTACTACTTCTAGAGTACTTGTAGCACTGCTTCTCGTACTCGTAGTACTACTTCTAGTACGACGTGTACTCGTAGTACGGCTTCAAGTACTTGTAGCACTTGTAGTAGTACTTGTAGCACAGCTTCTAGGTGCTTTGGAGTGTTTATTAATGCGAACCATATTACTATTGCGGGTTTGGGGAGCTTGTGTGGGGTACCTCACGCTGGACTGTTGCAATTAACTTTTGCAATAGCCCCTTCTTAATTTAGTATTGGGTGAACAAGCGGGTCCGGTGGCACAGACTTTTTAAATACAGGCCCAATTATCAAACTTAGGTTGACAGTAGTTTGTTGGGTAGTATGCACCAATCTGCACGAGTATAAAGCGCTGGGTGCTCCCTACTCTGCCGTGTAAAAGGGGTGTGTTACTGTTAAACTATGAACCCGTCCTGTAGCAGTTCCGAATCAAGGAACGATTTAAACTCGATATTTTAATTTAGAAATCGAGGGGCGGACAGAGGCTTCAAAAAGACTTAAGTAGGAGAAACACAATCATTTGTTTCTTCGCTCTCCTGCAGATTGACATGGAACCCGCAAAGCTATCACCCATTTGGGAGGGAGCAAACCCATGCGAGAGTGGACGCGGACCACGGGTGATATCAGAAAGAAAATCCGACTGCTTGAGACAGGGCCGATGTGTTTCCACACTCTAAATCTCCACGTCATCCTCGGCAACTCTCATGTGTAGAGGAAGCTTGATTTGGGGTACACTTTTCAAGCTCAAAGAGGGGAGTACTTCATAGAGAATTTGTGAAAGGCATCTGAAAGCCGAATTGCAAACTTGAATGAACATGCAAATTCAGCACTGCCACTTGAAATGGAAACTCAAGTCCCTCAAATCCAATCTCAAAAGGAAGCTCCAGCAACACCAAAATGAATTCAATCTCAAAGTTGGCCCCAGCAATACCACCCAATTCTAAACCCATTGAGTTGGTGCATGGTCATCTAGTCGAGTGATGAGGGGGCGGGGCGATTGATCACAGGCGTCCATTATTGGGGCAACCACATGGGGGCCGCTTTCCAAGACTGGAGATGGGGCCAATCCAGCTGAGCAGCTCCGCGATTGCCAACTCCAAGCTGTTGTCCCATGCGAGAGCACGTGTCTAAACCAAATGCAAGCTCTCTCCCGAAAATGAATAAACGGACAACATGCATGGTGCTCCATACCCATGACTGCACACCATGCACCTATGTGTGTGCATATAAGTGTGTATGCATACATGTATGAACATTTGCACATATGTTTGTAGTTTGAGTTTCCAGTTGATTCGGTTTTACATGCAAAGGATCGGGAATCAGTGAAGTTGTTCCTCTTTAAAGCACTCCTTCCTTTGCAGGATTAATTGGGGCTAGTGTTGCCTAAAAGACTTGTTGTTTTTTGGTGTTGGGTAGTTTGGCTAGGGCCTAGAAAGCTTGGTTGTGACCACAATCCCGCCAACACCGTGCCAGCTCGCGAAAACAAATGAAGCACCACGTCAACTATCATTGTTTTGTCGTCCGTTCTTTGGTTTTCTGCTTTCATACTCTTTGTGCCGACTCACATGTAGAGGTTGTAAATTGGCTGGTCATAGTTCAGTAATCACACATACATATATATATATACATATATAGATAGAATGAGGCTGTACACCTGGTGGGCAGTGGACACACTTACCAACCCAGGTGGATGGCCTCTATGGTTACTGCAGTGACCGGCAGATCCAGACCGCGTCTGGGCTCGCATGTCTCATTGAGGGACTCGAGTCAAATGGAACCTTGCTGAAACTGCACGTTCATGAAGTTCTTAATTTTGCCCAAAGGAACCCGACATGGGATGGGTATCTCACCTACCCTTATATCCGAGTCGACCGACAAAAAAGCTCAAACGTGTGGTTTCCCAGATTTGGGCACCTTTTCGGGTGTCCAGGTCGCGAAAACTTGAAGTTTTAATTTCCAGGTCCTTTGGGCAAGTGAGATCATCTTTTTGCATTAGTTTCCCCGTTTTTCAAACGGCATCAATTCAGGAGGCCGTGCTTCGCTTGAAGCGCAGCCTTGCCAACCAGTGTAGCAATGAGTTTGGAGAGTTCCCACTTCAGCATGGAGTTGTGAAGAATTAATCGGGGAGGCATTCCAGCTTCTTTTGCACACTTTCTGCATTTCCCACCTCGCTCTCTTGGGGAAATGTCGCTCTTTGGCTCACAGGTGCGAACCTCCTCGCCGCTTCGTATGGCCAGCATAGCTTGAGATGTTCAAAATCCAAAGGTTCTGCTAGGTTACATAGGTGGCCTTTTGATCGGGGTTGTTTGGTTAGACGTAGATGGGTTCCCCTGGGTTAGATTAGTTGGGGCAGTTCTATCTTACCAAAGGAAAGTTTCCCTGTTCTGTCGATTCTGTTGGTGTCCACAGGCTTCAGATTAAGCTGGGATCCCGTGTTGAAGCACCTAATAGATTTTGGATGTTTCGGAAACAATGGCGTCCTTCATTCAACCTGTGGCAACGGCTTTCTCATTTTGGGTGTGCGCGGGGAGTTCCGAGGCAAGCACTCGCATTCAACTGATTTCAAGAAAACCGCTGATAGAGGCTGTCCAGAACACATGACAGGCAATCAGCTCCCACCCTCTACCTTGAAAAGCTTATGATTACCAACAACTTTTTTTTTCGGCGGTCATGCCAACTAGCTGGGTTCAATTTTGACCATGACCCCCACCCCAGTCACACATGAGGCAAGCCCGCAACCCTGCGAAAGCAATCCCACTTCTACCTGCATTTGGGAACATTATTGTTTTCCTACTGCCCTGCAAGTCATTTGTTTTTGGACAGGGGGCAACACTCACATCCCGTTCGTGCTGGTTTCCGCTTCCGATGGTCCAGCTGGATGGATCTTTGCGGCTACTGGCCAGCTACAATGTCCTGCACGGGCGCCAGTTCTTCGCGAAGTCCCTGATGGCCACCTGAAGAATCAGCAGTTCCACTTGAGCGCCCAATCCCCCCCCAAAGGGCCATGTTGGCAGGTGGTTCTGGTACCTGGTTCAAATAAGTATGTGTTTGTGTGCCTTGAGTAAACAGAAAGCGCTGCCCATACAAACCAGTATTGCTGCGTTGGGAGAACAAAAAGTAGATCAGTTTTGGGCGCTGTGTGTTTGTTCTTCTGAGTTTAGGAAATGGCGGGTCAACCCAAAATCGAGAAAACCCAAGCCTTCGTTCCTTTTCTTGAGCGTGCTCAGTTGAAACCGGCCATCAAAAAGTTGTTTGTCATTTGTGCTATGGCGGATTGCCACTTGATTCAGGGTGTGCATTGTGTTTCCTTTTCCCATGTTGGGTCGGGTTGTTGAACATCACAGCACTTTTTGTTCCCATTGTATTGTCTTTGTTTTGCGCCCAGTGAAAAAATGCGATCAACCTCAACAGGATTGAGTTTGGTTCACAAGCGCGACTAGTTGCATACTATGAGGATGGGGCCGTTCCATAGGGTATTGAACTTGCAAACTGGAGTTTTGTTTTCCATCGATTTCCTTTCGCAGAATTTCACAAAAGTACCCTCAAAAAAGGAGTATGTTGCCTCAGCCTCTAAAGCCAATACCCGGCTGAGCTTGCCCTTTTGACCTTTTCCTTTTTGGTTTTCCAGCGTTTTCCCTTTCAAGAAAATAAACATTTACCCTTCCACAAACATGGCACCTAGAGAGTACCCGTTTCAGCATCCTCCAACAAGTCCTCTCTGTCAGGTGCCATGTTGGTGGCAGGGGGGGCGCAAGTGTTTTGTGGATTTCATTGTTCTCCTTTCGAAACGGCGAAACGGCGTCATGTCAGGCCATGTGGTTCTTCTCCCTGCTGGAGTGGGCGGCCTTCTCAAGTGCCAGCTGGCTGTCCGGGTGTGTGAGCGCACGCTTTATGGAGGGCGGCGGGAATCCCCTGGTTGAAGTTGATTGGGGGTGTCCGCTTTTAAGTGAAAGTTCATCACTTTTGGAGGGGGTGTTCCCCCTAGGAATAGGACTGGTCAACATCAGCCTTTCAACCTTGGGAAGTCAACAGGAGCACCAAAGCCATTTTGGGGCTCCCATGTGGTTTCTTTCCACCCCCAATCCTGTTTTCTGATCTCCGTTGGGCGAATTTTGTGCACAGGTTGGCGGTCGGAACAAGAAGCGGGTCTCCGTGTTGGTTTCAGCCAAAGACCTGCAGCTCCCCGTTTTGGGGCCTTGCTTTATGGCGGTGATTTACGCCGCCTTAGGGGACTTGAACACGGCAAACAAGACAAAGCTTTCCTGAGGCATTGCCCGAATCCTTGCTCTCGAGAAAGGTTCGCTGAGAGCCCCGGAGCAGAACCGGATGACAAGTCCTTTCCGAGTAACTTTTGGCAGGGCAAGCGCCTTTGGCTGGTTCTCCCCTCTCTTCCACCAGTCCTGGTGCAGGATAGGAAGCCCAATTCCCGCACTCAGGTGATTTGCTTGGCGCAGTGGACCTCTCAGTTTTTCCTCTTCCTGGCTTTTCTGGCCATGATGGGCGCAGCAGTCCATCGGACTGAGCCTTGGACGCGGTCGAACGATCGGCCCATGGTGCAACAAGTGGTCGACTGGTGGTTGGTCCAGTGCAGGAAATTCGGAAATGCCCAAAATAACTAGCCCTTCTTGGGAATTGTGGCCTATTTCCGTCTACAGATTTTCCGGGCCCGTATTTAGCAGCCAGCCAAATTTCGGCATTTTGAGGTTCACCAAGCTATGGGAGGATAGTCCATGTTGTTGTTTGGTGGTGGGTGGCAGAAAAGGAAGCCCTGCATGTGTGGAAACCATTGGAAACCCCTTTTGGAGGGGTCCTCTATGTTCCTCGAAAGGAAAGGCTAAAGGCAACGAGCTCATGCTGAAAGTCAATGTGCGCGATCCTTCGATGATGTTTGCAGAATGGTTTGGCCTTTGCATGCCTGGTTTGACCGTGTGACTCCAAAGGCCCCGTCAGGGCCAGCTTTTGGACACAATTGATATGTGTTTTTTTTGTGGGTACCCGGGTACCCTTTTTGGGGTTGGTTTAAAGGGAAGTAGGCAAAGGCAAACACACCATTGAAGGGGTCCCCTGAAGACAGCTTTTCCATACCCACAAAAGTGTGGCACAGCAACCAGCACCCAAGCGGTTGGCTGGAACTCTGGACGTGCAATGTGGAGGTTGGTTTGTTTTTAAGATACCTTGTTTGTTGTCGTTTTCAAGGAACACCAAAATTAAAACCAGCAATTTGGGGGCTCCCTTAGAACATCACACACCCATGTGACTTCTTAGTGTTCTGTTTTGGTTTTACAGAGACATGGTCACTGGTAGCAACCCACTAACATGGAATCTGACTGGAGGGCCCATCTATGTGGGAGGTCACCGAGAGCAGTGAAGGTAAGACAACACACCAAGCACATCATAGTCATAAAGTGATTTTGTGTGGCTTTTCAAGAAATCTGGGCATGTCAGGAAATCCTTAGTTGGTGGTTGGGTTGGTGGCTTGTGGACTTGAACTCCTGATTATGGGCTAAATGCGAAACTACTCCCACAGATCCACCCATCAGGGGGAAGCCGAGTCGTGACGGGTTAAAATTGGTAAGTTGTTTGAAGGTACAGACCAGCTCTTCGTCTCCGGCCAGCGAAATTTGGACGCGGCTGGCGGAGGCTTGGTGGAAGCCGTTGCTGACGCCAGTCTACCTGTTTCTACCCGAGCCTGCGCCATCAATTCAGCAGCCTTTGACACGCACCCAAACGCGAGCCGAACCCGAAGGAACCTGACAAAGGGGCCCATGATAAGGAAGCTAACAAGACCTGCCTCAACTCAGGTTCGTTCTGTTTCTGGTTTGCTTTGCCATGTTTGAGTGGCCACGGGTATTTTTTTCTTTTCCGAGTGGCCACGGGTATTTTTTTCTTTTCCTTGATGAGCAATCCTTGTTGCTCGACAATCTTACTGGAACATTTGTTGACCTTAGGTTGGCAGGGGGTTCCGATGTTTGTTCCATTGACCGCCCGAAAAGCGCGGGACAAAATGGGGAGCATACCCCTCCCCTTTTTACCCCCATTGGGTCTTTTCTTTTGCAGCGGGGGGAGTGGGGGCGGACCCTTTTGTCAGGTTATCCTTAGTTGGCAGTTTGGGTTTCTGGTTTGAAGATTTGAACCCTGGGTTCTTCTAGAGGGTATCTAAATGGGAACCACCCCGCAACACCTCCAAGCCACCAATCCAGACCATCAACTAGACTAGAGGGAATCTGAGTGTCAACGCACGGGGCCATCAAATACGTTTTTGTCCTTTTGGTTTGCCCTATAAAGCAAGGTGAAAAGGCTACCATGAAGAGGAAAGAAACCTGATGCTGGGGTTTGATCCGAAGTCTAAGGAGCAACACTCTTGCTATGGCCTGTCCAGTCAGTCACCGCCGGCCACGGGCTTCTACACCCTCCACGCGACTCTGCGCTTGGGCAGTGTGCTGCTTTGGCTCCTCACGAAGCTTCGCTCCAGACGGGCCCAACAGGAAACATAGGGAAAACCGTCCATGTTTCTGGGAAAACCACCAAATGGGTGTGTGTGTGTGTGTGTTCTGTTTAAGGGACCCTTTATATTGGTTGTTTTAACAGACAAACAAAGACCATGAACCACACACTGGATTTGCTATGATGCTTGTTGTTTGGAATGCCCTGAAACTGGTAGGTGGCCAGAAACGCCCTTTGAACATGTGCACCAAAAGGTTGCCGATCAAGGCGCGTGCCTAGTCTGCGGACGTTGGCTCTTTTGGCCAATGGCACCTATGTTTTGGCTTGTTTGCAGCCTTTCAAGCCAACCAGCTACAAGAGGAACCGTTGCCCTCCCAAGAATAAACATGAAGCCATTGCAGGGGTTCTTGGAAGACCTGTGCGAGGTATGGCCTAAGAGGGAAGCCAGCCAGGCTGGACGAACATGGGGCCTGAGGCTCGGGCATGGGACAATTGGGCTTTCCGTTGTTGTTCTGGGAGGGTTTCCTTTTTTCCAACCCGTGGTTGGTGGTTTGGAGTGGCGGTTTGGGGATTTGACGCCCTAGTTCTTGTAGAGGGTGCATGGAAAACCACAAATCCAAGCCAGCAATTCGTGGAAAGCTGACTTTGGGGGTTGGTTTAGATGGCACCCCAACAGAAACCAATCATTTTGGGGATCTCCTTTTTTTCAGGCGCCTTTTCTGTGAGTGCGTAAGGGATTTGTCCCAGGGGATCTTCAGGCGTTATGAATCCAACGGCCTGGTCCCAACGAACTTTCTCCGTGATGAGCATGAAACCCAACAATCCACTGTTTGTGAGGGAACTCCTTGTACATTCAATGGCTGCCCCAGGGAATCCTTTAAATCTTGCAGCAGCTTGATTTTCCAACTGCTCATAAACTAGTATCAGATTTACTTGGGACCATCCAAGCAGTCGGGTTATGTGTCCCAGGAACTCCCCCAACAAGTTGGTTAGGTTTCAGTTCCGGGTGCTTAGGATGGCCCGGCCAGTGGACATGTGCGTGGCCCCGGTTCTGCACTTCTGGCAGCCGGAATGCGCGGAAGTGCCTTCCTGGATCCAGGGCTGCGGCACAACTTTCTCGCCCCAGGACGGACGACTCCGGACAGTCGCGGACGCGGACGCGGAGAAATTGGTGTGGGGACCCCATAGCTCGGGGGTGCCCCTTGTTTTTGGAGGGGGGGGGGCTGTGTGTGTGTGTGTGTTGTATAGGGGGCCCAACAAATGCTTCGGTTTGCCCAGGGACGTCTCCGTCGGACTTTGTGTTCTATAGGAGGGTCAAAGGGGCCCAAGGAATCTGGCAGTTCAATCGACTTAAGTTAAAATGTGCCATTTCCGCCTGTGGGTTTGAAAGGGCGATGGTCATGACCAATGTTTGGATTGCCTTGCGAGGTTTGTGTGTGACGAGCCTGGGATGCTTTGTTGGTCACTGCCATTGGCTGAGCTGTCAAGTGTTGAATCAATAAACCTGTCCTGTTAACAGGGAGGTGTCACTCACAAAAGTCCCATTAAAAGGGGACACCCCCCCATTCTCAACCAGGCGTACACTACTCAACCAGAGTTTTGTGATGTTGACCCCAGATTGAAAGAAGCCCCTGGTTTATAGGAGGGTGTTCCTTTTGAGCGAGATTCGTCAATTTTGCAGGGGAATACCCCCCCCCCCTAGTGATGAAACCGGTCTGTTGATCTGGGGTCAAAATTGCGTCTTCCCTGAGCCTGGGCAAAATGGAGGGCTCAACTGGGCACTCAGATGGCACGCAAAGCACATGGCAGGAGTACACCCGGTGCCTGCGGTCCAGTTGGCTGGACGGCGCCTGCAACCTTTTGGCTGCCCAGTGCCGAAACCAGGCGCCGGGTCGGTCAGGTTGGTCATGCGGGAACGTGGGAACCAGGCGCCGCGCCGCGTTTTTGCTTTTTCTCGGGGCCCCGCACGGGGAAAGGGGGAGGCCCGTAGAAGATTGATTCAAGGGACTGACACAACTTTTTGGCTGGTACCCTCCGCCCCCCTTTTTGGCACCTGAAGAAAGCTGCAAGGGGATGTCAAGAGAAGATTGCATGGGCTATTGGTGTAGTTCCCTAGTCTTTTGTCAGTGAAGTCCTCACGTCTTCCCCGCCACCTTTTTGGGCGGTTGGCCTTCCAGAAAACTCCGCTTAAAATGGAACACAAGAAGCCATCCCTAACCTCCTGAATTGGGCACCCCCTGATTGTGTAGGTTAATTTGCGGGCAAGGGGTTGCCGGGAACCAACCCGCTGCAATGAAGCCCAGGCGGAGGGTCAAGTGGACCTTACCGTCAGCCTCTTCGTGGAGCGATGGGCCACGTCCGGTCGCCACATGAAACAAGTTGTCGCATCCATGTGGTCGGTGGCTCAAGTAAAACCGGACACCCTTTTTGGATTGTTTGTTGTTTGGTTTTTGCAGAACCTGAGGTACCACTCAGTCAAAGAATTGTTCACCTGGCGGGAAGATCGACCCCATCTCACTGGGTGAATCGGTTGCCCTTTCGCTGGTCCTGGTCCTGGCCCAACTTTGGTGTCTAGGGAGGGGCTTGTTGCTCTGGGCGAGGGTATGAACCCACTTGGGTTGAGGAGGGTGTTGAAATTCCACAAAATCACTTGGGTAACTCGGAGGACACCCCCTTCGCTTTGGTCCTGCGTTGCACTCCATGGCTTTGTGTCGGTAAAAGCCACCCTCTTTGCAAAAGACACAAAGCACATGACGTTGTTTGGTCAATAAAACCCAATGCAAGTGTCCAGAAGGCCCTTGAAATGTCCACTGGGCAATGTCCCCAATCATCAGTGGAAGCCAACATGGAAGCGGGGACCTTGGTTTGTGAACCGCGTCTCGGTTTCGGGACCGGCGCGGAGATCAATTAGGGGGAGCCTTTTTGATGTGCAAACGAGAAGCCGTTTGCGCCCTGCTCTGACTAGCAACATGCCGGCGTTCAAAGGATCCACAATCGAGCAAAGGATCTTCACGCGGCCCACATCGCTCGTCTTGTTCCATCAGGGTTCACCAAATGCAGGGAGACCAACTGCGCTTCGGAAACTCTGCCACTCTTCTCACCCGGCCCCGTTCCAAAACTGACACAACAAGTATCCCCCAAAACAACACCCAAAATATTGGCCGACTCCTTGTCTTCTGCTGGAGAATGCGGCACCCTCCAACTGTGTTTCCCTCAGTGGGGGCTGGCCGTTTATGCAAACCGTCACTTGCATTGCTAACATATGTGTAGAAACATATATATGCTACCCCCCTTAATACTCAGGTTTTCGGCCAGACTGGGGGGACTCTGAACTGAATTGGCAGGACGTGCAACTCCATGCAAAGTCCAACCAAGCAGAAGTCAAGCTCAACGTTCAAAAAAAGTTCCTAGTTCAACAGCTCGAAAGTCACCTTGGCGTGCGCGAAGTGCAGTTAAAGTGACATTGGAGTATGCAAAGTGCACTTTGGCAGCCCCAGCTCGAAAAGCACAACTTTTCAGCGCAAGAGTACACGAAGTATGCTTTGGCAGCTTCATCGTGCCTGTAGCAGCTCTGTTATGTGGTTATTTTTTGACAAGGAAGTTCAGCAAATCATCCACTTGGAGGAAAGGAATTCAATCCTACTTGCATCTGACATCCAAATCAAAATTAACGTGCCTCATGTTCTTGTGCAGTTGCATTAACATGTCAATCCAGTTTGTTGTTTTAATTCCATATACATTCTAACTTAGTGTATACAAGCAAAAGTTGCAAAGCAGCTGTCTCAGTTGTGTGTTACTTATCTAGTACTTTTGAATCATTGCCAAAAACAACTATTGACGTTCAATTTAGGAAGGATATCCAAGTTGAAAGCTGTTTCGAAGTAAAACCAAATGCAACTTTCACCTGATGCAGTTTCTTGTGCGTTTCCAAACCAACTGGAGAACACAGCTATTCTCATGGTCAGTTAAAACTGGATTCAAGCTCAGTTTCATTCGGGTTTGTGCCTTTATCAAACTCCATGTTGTTGTATCCAAGCAAGAACTGTGCCAAGCCAATAACAAAAATGTGGTTTCAAAGATACACCCGGTTCTTGGCGAAAAATGCTGCAAGACGCTGTGTTTTCAGCATTCGCGCAGATCATGTTGCCCTGGACCGACGGGCGACTTCAAGATTCCACATAAATGGATGTAGAACATCCTCAGTCCTGGCCCCCAAAAAGCTTGACAGCGTTCTCTCTTTAAGGTTCTCCCAGCGGCATTGAAGATTGATGTTTTTTCCAGATTTTGTTTTTTTAGAATCGTCCATCCTGGCCAGCCCTCAAGTCCACGCAAAACTGTAAAGTTTTCAAAAACATGTTTCCCCCCTGGCAAAATGCAGGCTAATTTGGCTCTTGGAACGCGCGCTCCTTGTCTGCCATTTTGGATTCTTCAAATCCATACTTGGGCAACGCAGGATCTGCCAGCTGACAGTTTTCTCTCGGATTCTCCGAATCTGTACTCAGGGCAACCCAGAATGTGCTAGCACGTGCTAGCAGCACATCGATTGAAGATTGAAGATTATCAACGCGTTTTTTCTAGAAATCTTCCAACCCATACTTAGGAGAAACTCGTACGAGCTAGCACGTGCTAGCACATCCTGGATTGAAGATCTGAAGGTTGAAGAATCCCAGAAAGATTGTCAAAGAATCTTCAATTTCAACCTTCACTCCAGGATGCTTGCACGTGCTAGCACGTCCTGGATTGCCCGAAGTACAGAATGTACAGACTTGAAGAACCGCAGACAGAGTTGTAAGATAGTCTTCGGCCTTCAATCCAATCTTCAACTCAGGATGTGCTAGCACGTGCTAGCACACATCCTGGAGTGCACTAAGTACTGAAGCTAGGATTTAAGTCTAGAAAGGAGTGCAGTATTAAAACATCCTGGAAAGTGCATGTTACACCCGTATTTCTTCAACAACAACAACTTGAGCATTCCAGGGGTTCTATATATATAAGTATAGATCTGAAAACATATATATATATATATGCACAAATGTCTATACATATGCTGTTTTATCTATACATTCAAAAACTTATATATTTGTACATATAGTATATACTGTCTTTTTCCCCCAACATATTATTTGTGTCGGGTCCCTTGGCCTCTCACCTTGGAGATGACCTGCTGCGAGGACGCCTGGATGAGTGCGGTGCCACTGGCCACGCCGGTGCTTTGCCTGCTTTGTGCCCCGTGCCTGTTACAACGAGTCGCTTGAGCCCATGCTTCCTCCCCACAACTAAGAAAAGGGTTACATTTTGGGGCCAGGCTCATCGTTTTTCTCAAAGGCAGTCATTTTGCGCCATTTTGAGACAATTCCTCAAGGTGAAATCCCAGGTTGTGGCCAACCCACGCATCCATCAGATGCCGCCGAAAAAAAGAGAGCGGGACTCCCAGATCCAGGACACACCCTATGCTGCATGTTCACGTGGTTCCGCGGCTGGGGCATCCGATGCTACCCGTCAAACAAACAAGCAAGTTTATACCTTCTAAAACGTAGTTTATACCTTCTAAAACGAAAGCTAGAATGAAGGCTTTGACATTTCAACAATGGCTCAGACCTTTCAAGCATTGGCAGCTGGTCACGGCACCTTTGTGCTGAGATTAAGTTGCATAAAGATCGCGGCATGTACTGCCATACTGCCTATGTACCCGTACATGTGCCGCCGGTGTTACTTGCGTTGATAGTGACCAGGGATGACTGGGACATGACTGGGACTGTGAAATGACACTTCGAAATTATTCAAGCCCCACTTGCCCAACGTGAATCGACCTTTTCACCTTTTGGTTTCCCTGATTTGGCCCATAGGTTCCGAAAGGCTGACCCATTTCCACGTCCTGGGTAGCCAATACCTCGGCTGGGCTGTTTGCGACTTTCACTATCAGGGAGATCTGAAGGGGCCCATGGCTGTGTCAAGCTATGGGCGATTTTGGGCTTGTCCTACGTTTCCAGATTCCGCCGAGACCTCAGCAGCCATGAGATTGCAAGTGAGGGGAACTTCTGTCTGTTTTTTGTGATGTGTTACTTGCACGTTTGGGGAACCTATTGTACTTCCACCAGGTTGAGCGCTAGAAAGCCAGCCTCCTGTTTTCCTTTTAAAGGCAAAGCTCTTACTTGCCTTCCCGAGCGGGCTTTCGCCACCTGCCAGTCGTTCTGGCGCGCTGGGAGAAATTCTGGGCAGTGGCGCCAGATGCAAATTTGCGCCATCGCATACAAGAGGAAGAGCAGCGGCTGCAGGAGCCGCAGCGGAACTTGCTTCGGTTCGGATTGGTTTGGAGGCCTTGAAAGACTTTTTGGATGACTCTGATGTCCACCCTGGGCGACCCCAAATTGTAGTTTTGGGCGCGTACGGGTTTGACAAGGGCGCTGAAACAGTGCTGCATTGTTTCAAATTCAATTAATCGGGAACAAGCAAAGGCCCCCTACCAGGAAAGGAAGGGTTCTGACCATAGGTGTCCTTTTTAGGTTAGCTTGGTTAGAAATGGATGGCACTGGTTTAGATTCGTTTTACGTATTCCATTTACAGGGCCATCTGGTTTTGCCAAAGGGTCACCCGTGGTTCTGACCACCATTCTGGTCGGGGCTTGGGGGCTGCTGATCGGCTATGTCAAATCGGTTGAGGAGCAGCTCTGCAACGGGGACCAGCTGACGCATAACTGGAGCTGGTGGCTGCACCTCGATTTAGCACTTTTGGCCTTGGACTTCGGGACTGACCTGTGCCTCGGCCCGAATCTTTCGGTCAACATGGTCAACCTTGGGTTAAAAGGCTTGTCCTTCAAGAGCTGGTTCAAGATAAGGCAATTGTTGGGCCTGGCCCCCAACAGGTGTAGGATCCCCGCAGGTCCCTGAAAAATTGAATTGCCGGGGGGGAAAGGGGGGGCTGGAATTCCTTTTTATGGTATTGAATGCTGGATACGTGGAATTGGGTGACCCCCCCACCCCCTTCACCCTTCAAGGTTTCCTTTTGGAGGTATGCCGATCTTGTGGACGCTCGGATTCCAACAGCCACTCTGAAGTCAGGGAGCTCCGAATTCATGTGAAGCTTTGCTTTGCAAGTTGTTTGGTTGCACAGGGGGTGAACAGTTGATATCCAGCCCTTTGCTTTGCAACGTTTTCCTTGTAAGTGGAAAGCAAGGATACGAACAACCGAGCATATGTTCCTTTGCTGGTTTATGCCTTGGTTTCCGAGCCTGCTTTTGAGATTGACGCCCTCTGAGAGAGGGAAGCCTGTAAGGTTCTGCTTGCTCATCTTTCTCGGCGCTCGCAACTGGGGCTTCGCCTTTCTTCAGCTACTCTTGGTGTCCTCAACAGTGGCCAGGCCATTTGTCGGAGTCGGCGTGTTGCTCTCCTTGCCTAAACTCACCCTTTTCTAGGTCCAACGTGTGGAACCATCTGGCATCTTTGCCCTTGGCTTTCGACTCACTCCCTGAGTTCCTGGAATGTTTTTGGGGAAGACAATTTTAGTGACAAACTAACAGTTTGGGCTTTTTTGGCCATCCCCTCAGGAAGTCAGCATACATTTGAATGATGCATAAACAAAAAAGGTACCTACAGGTGTAGCTTAACGTTGACCAAGTGTTTGTTCTTGGGCGGGCCCATTTGTTCCAGCACCTCGGGGCTTGTTGCAGGTCAAAGTGTTTGGCTTTTTGAGGGGTGGGGCCCTGAGATTGGCGAGTTTCCTAAGGAGAGGTTGTTCAGCTTCCCTCTGTGTGGAGGTTAGGGGTGGTTTCCCCTTCACCCGTTCAAATCCCCAAGCCATCAATCCAATCGAATCCAAAGCACCAATGAAAGGACGGTTGTAAAAACGCAAGTGGAAGGACATTGATTTAAGCACCTTCAACCATCCTTCAACGAAGGAATCTTGAAGCCGTTTCAATACGCCCATGGTGATTTAGAGCCCTAGCAAGCCCAGCCAAACCATACGAATCTGACTTATAGTGGTCATCAGTGATTGTTTCGGGCCATTCAGGAAAGGGTCGTGACCTGCCTTCGCCTATAGCCTATACCAATAACTTCAATACGTCCCTGTCTTCCCTATAACTTCAATACGGCCCTGTCTTCCCTAAGGTCACGTCTGCTGCTTCTTTAGGAGACCTGGGGATGCATAGTAAGGTTTTGGCAAACATAGTCCGTGATACCCGTGGACATGTGCTTCAAAATGATGAAGCAGTCTTTGCATGCGGATCCCTGAACAATTTCAATCTCTGCTGATCTTCAGGATTCGGTTCATGGGGTGTTTCGGGGTTTGCCTTGTTCCCTACGTGTAACATCCACTGGCTTCCGAGATTGTCTGCGGGAAATGGTCACGAGCATCATCTTCCTCACTTCGTCGCGGAATGTAGGGCACTTATTTTACCGAATCAACTTCCAACAAGCCAGTAGAAAACCCAGCATGTGCAGGGTATTTGGCCAAACTATTCTTCACTGATTGCTTGATGTTGTTTGCCTCATTTGTTTCCCATGGTTTCGGATCGCTGGTTGCCATGCCACGCCGTATCCACCTTAGACCCGCACATCTCAAAGCCTGCAAAATTGCCTAAAACCGTCTTCTCACTTGGCGAACTGCGCGTTTTTGCCGGCTGAACATGACATCTGGGGCCTCTCCTGGCAATTTCTGTCCTCTGGGTTTCCCATTCACGATTTTCAGAACCCATGACATCCTGGTTGGTTACCTTCTTTCCCACCATCCAAGCCCGCCATTTTCTGAGGGGGTTCCCAAATGGTGTTCCTTCGACACCCACAGGGGGGTCTTTTTGCCACCGCCTCGCCTCCAATCCCGCGAGGTGTGTGCAGCGGGGCCCGCAGGCGGTGCTGGAGGCCTTCAAAACCTCCAAAGCCCAAGGCTTCGTCTCGCAGAGCTACCTGGAGATCGCCCAGGTGCGGTCGCGGTCGCGGGGTTTTGGTCACGCGCCTGGGGTCATTCTTTTGATTGTAAGGGCTAAAGTCAGACATTTGGGTTTCCCTCAAATCATTCTTTTGACTGTTTCTAGGGGTTGTTAAAGTCAGACATTGGAGTTGTTTCCCTTGCCACTTAGGGGGTGGCTTTCACAAAGGTAAAATACTGGGGCCAGAATGCCACGCGGTTGCTCGGAGTCAGGAGTCAGGAGATTCGTGTCGGTCGATGGGTTTCAAAGAAGGATCGAGGCATATATGCCGGCAGGCAGGTGGAATTTGTTGGGGTCGGCGGTCGGTCGAAATCCTCTTATCGGTTCAGAAAATTGGCGGACGGACGGACATTGCGGAAATGGGTTTGGGGACTCCTTCCATTTGCGTGTCAGGAGGTTTGCCTTCGTTGTTCCATGGTTGTTCAGGAAATTTGTCACTGGAAATACGTTTTTTTTGTTGCGGAGGGTTCCTAGGATAGAAGTCTTCATGCCGCCGCAGTGCTATCTCAAGTGCTGAATTGTCCAATGGCCGGCTTCATGTGATTTCAATTTGGCCTATGCTGCCACGATACTGTTGCACAAGCGGCTCACAGCGCTGGCTTCCTATTGCTGGAGAGTCGCCTTTGGTGCGATCTGCTGAGCCAGTCAGAAGCTGTTCGCGGTACTTGGCCCCCTTCAGCAGGGTCTCGGGCGCTAGATCGCCAGACTTAGATCTTCCGGGGACACCAAAGGGGCAAAGGGGCTTCTTTACCGAGACCGGAAAGAACACCCAAAAATATTGTTTTGAGGGACCTTGGTTGGATTGGGAGTTGGGTGCTGCTAGGAGTCATGCTGCATGTTGAAGGGAGCGAACTGTGACGCAATAGGTATAATGTCCATTTGTGGGCATGTCAGCATCGCTTAAAAGAAAACAAAAGGGGATGGATATTATGTTTTGTTTTCTTTCTGTTTTTTTTCCAGACCCGCTTTGCTACTTGGCACCCATGTTTCATAAGAGGGTCGAATTCACACGTCCAGGTGGAAACACGTTGTATACGTTGTCAAAGGTTGGCAAGGTTGGTTCGTTTTTTTTTTTTTTTTAAGCAGGTCCCTATCGGTTGCCGGTATATTGACGGGGATTAATTTATCATTTGTTTGGGGAGGACAACCGCCCTGTCCCACAAAAAAGAGGTGACAATCCAATACCCGCTTAGAGAGAGAGAGAGAGGGAGACGGACAACCCTTTGTTTCTTTGTCTCTGCGCGGGAACACGGAGTGTTGTCACGCACAACATGTTCGATGTCCCAACTGTGGATTAGAAAAGACTTTGCCATGTCAGGCTGAGCGTATCATGCGAGCACCCCTGGCCTTCGTGCTGCAGTACTACAGCTCCCCAGCACGGTTTGAAGTGGTTGTGCTGGTTTAATGGGGGTTGTTGTGGCAAGGGCAATATGAACCTGCAGAACCATTTTGGTAGAATCAACAATCAATGGGATTTGGGCGCTTGATTTAGTTCCATCACAATTTCCTGCCAGGGGGAGAGGGACACCCCGTTTTTGAGGTCAGGCTTCCAACCCGAATTGAACCCCGGGGGATTGCTTGGCGAGCTTGTGGGTGGTGTGGTAGAGGGTGCGCAGGTGCATTTGGCACGTGTTTGGGGACAGGGGGTTAAAAATTCCCGCATCATGGTTTTTTCACCTGCTAGTGCACACTGCTTGGAAGCATGGTTTGCTTTTCCTGTTTAGACTTGCCATGACTTGCCATTTCGACATACCTTCGCAAGCTTTGTTGGGAAATGGGCGAGACCTACGAAGAGGGCTTGTCTAAAGCCAGTGAAAAAGGCAGCAGTCTGCCTTTGAAGGGGTTTCTTTTTTGGGGGGGGGATTGCTTTGGCGGTTATCGGACACGTTCCGGAAGATTCGTGGGGGAACCGCTCAATGGTGGAAGAAGCCGGGAGTTTGCCAGAAGTTCCCACCCGAACATTGCGCCTTTCAGCTATTGTGGAACATGTGGCCCCTTGCGCTAGAATAGTATCCATAGCTAAATAGTTACTACTAGTTTACCTCTATCATCACTACTCCCCTACAAATTCACTAGACCCAGAACAGCTGTCTCCCGAAGGGAGCTACCTCCAGAAATGAACGTTGTTTTGCGTTCCACGTTAATCTATGGGAGATGAACTATGCTATTCTCAAGCACCCCAAAGGGCCCTTGCAACTTTCTTGGAATAAAACCCTGTTGGAACACATGCTGAGCACCTGTCATGTACTCGCCATCTACAAACCTTGGCCCTTTGGAACTGTGAAAAAGCATAGCTACTCCATCAAGCCTAAAGGACCCTTTGCTAGGGGCAGCCCAGATACGTGCGGGATACGCACGCCGCTTGCGCGGGGGATGCGCCGAGGCTTCGCGTTCATCGCCGGGGACTGCTTCCAGGTTTGGATCTTGTCCATCAGCGTGCTGTTCAGCAGCTCGGTTACCTTGGACTTGGACGGCTCAAGGATCAGGTTGTTTGACTTTGTTCACTAGTCATTTCGCAGGTTGCCATTTGGAAGTTCCTGATTCACAAGCGGGGGCACTCTCTGTCCCGCTCAATGTTTCGGTTTGGGTGGGTTTGCCTTTGAGAACACCTGTTTCGGCGGGTTGCTCTTTGAAGTCGACCATGAAGCAACATGCGTTTCTTTTTCTGGGTGGGGCTCCCGTTGAATTCAGCCAAAAAACAGTTTGACAGCTTACTTTGGCGAGGATGCTCCTTTGGTTCGAATACCCTCAAAGGCGATTTAACGGTTTAACACAGGTACCAGCTAAAGGACGACCTTCGCTGCAGCGTGTTGTTTCCCCGTCAGTGGGCAATCCGAAGCAGGAGCCTTCCTTTGAATGTCAGGCTCCCTGATACAGGTGTTAGTTGGTGAGGGTATTCAATGGCAGGTATGGATTCTGGAGAGATGGATGCTTAAATACCACGAATATAAGCTTGACAGGCAGCATGTACCCCTTATTTAAGAGGCATACAACCTCCATACCTCCAAAACCGACACTGCTTGAACATGGCCTTGAAGTATGTTGTTCAGTGTTGTGGGCTGTGAAGAAGCTCGGTGTTTGTGTCCTTTTGGCTGCCCTGCCAAAAAGAAAGCGGGCGAACGCCCGCCATTTTGAGAAGCACCGGTATTTGTTGGGGAGAAGTTGCTGGTCAGCCAATGAGGGAATGCATGGTTATGCGCCCCACGAACCATCCGTTATAGATTCTCAGTTGGGAGAGGATACAATTCCATAAATACCAGCATAAACCACAAGTCCCGACTGTGCCTGGCGTAGATGTTTCCATCCACGGCATGTTTCCCTCTTGGGTCATGTTTAACTGTTTGACCTTTGGTTTCCCCTGTTCTGAAGAGAAGGCCACAAGGTGAAAACAAACGGGCTACAAGGTGAAAAACCAGGGCCGCAAGGTGAACACCCAAGCGACACAAGCTTAGCAAGGAGCCGAGTTTAAACAAATCGCCTCAAGGTCAAATTGCCAGTTCAGGCCTGGTGAGCGCAACACAGGGTGGCTTTATCTTGGTGGACCTGGATGTGGCACCGGAACAGCTCTCGACGCTGCTGCGCTGGGATTGCTAAAGTCCCAGCTGCCCAAGGCGGTTCTCGACCTAACCTTTTGGTTGTTCCCATTTAGCCCAGGGAGACAGGCAGATTGGTTGACACAAACAGTAGACTCACCTGCCCATGTTGGCAACCATTTGTTAGTGGTGATCACCTTGTATTTATTAGCTTGTCCCTAACCAGCTGAACCAGACCTTGAGTCCTTGGTTTAAAGGGAGAATAGAAGGACACCTTTTGTTTTTTGGAAAGCAAACTCTGCACCCAATCTTGAGATAGGGTGACAAACCGAAAGCACGGATTCGCCTGCGAAGGCGAATCCGTGAGCACTTGTTTGCAGGTCTGGACTTGTCGGGAAGACTACCTGGAGTCTCCACGGCCCTTTAAACACGGGGTCATTACCTTCTTAGGTTAGTTTGGTAAAATAGATGGCTCTGGTTTAGATTCGATGCATTCCATTCACCAGGGTGTATGGACCCACAAATGGGTCATGGCCCCACTTTCGGGTCATGGAGACTCCATGTATTTTGAAGCGAGGGCATACGCATGCTTTTGAATTAGATCCAGAGATTCAGAGCAAAGAGATGCACAGATGTCTCGGAGCGGCTTCATCTTTTGGGCCCATAAATGGGGCTGCAAAAGGTTTGGCTCTTCCTTTGAGCTTGGGGCAATGGGAATTCTCAAGTTTCTCATTGAGGGCAGAGACAGCTCTTTTGCAACCCATAGGAAAGCCAAATGCCCTGAACAGGGGAAGGCAAGGGAGACCCAAGCAAACCAACCGTTCCAGCGGCCGGCGCCATACGGCGGCAGATAGCCAAGACGGCCAAGGTGCGGCAATTGGGTCCGTTTGAGTGACCATGCCTCGTCCATGCCCTGCCATCAGTACAATGCACTGTTTCAAACAAGTATTCTGCAGAGAGAATCGGATGACACGAAGGCAGCGTTTTGGCGGAAACACCCAATAGAAGGGGGGTAAATATTTAGAGAGGTGTTTTGGGCCTTAAAACCCAAACCAAGTCATGATCATTTGGGAGCAGAGTTAGTAGTTATTTGGCAACTTGTATCGTTATATAGCAGGAAATGTCCCATGTTCCGCAACCATGGGCCGATTCGCGCAATGTCCAGGTGGGAAACACCCGGGCCCCTGAACGAAGAGCGTTCAGGCCGCGAGAAGAATTCCTTGATCTCATGGGCACCCATGGAGAAAAGTGCCAACATTAGCTGCTTGAGTGGTTTGGATTGGCGGTTTGGTGGTTGGGTGGTTTACCATTTACCCGTTGCAAGGGATGCAGATCCCAAACCACCAATCCAAACCAACAACCAAGGGTTTCTGTACGAGAAGCAAATTCACCGTGTGAAGAACTGCAAGCAAGGTCTTACCCATGAAAGGTATTCTCTCCCTCCAGCAATCCTGGAAACCGGGTTACGGCTTCTTTCCTTTGCAGGAAGCCCCTATCTTTCCGTGGTTGCTTGGAAAGAGGCTCAAATCTCAAGAGCACTATCCGGGACCTCCTTAAAGAATGCAACCAGCTGTCTCCAAATCGAACTTTTGAGGGAACCCTGGGCAGACTGCTGTGCAAGGGTCCAAAGCTTTTGATGTTTTGCAGCAGTGTGGAGACATGGGGCTTGCGGGAGCAGCTATGAAACGACTGCAGGGTGCGCAACAAGGCGTGTTTAGTTTGCTCCGAGGAGGTTGTTCGGATCCTGTACAAACCGCTGGCGGTTGTCAACCCGCCGGGAAACGAGCTTGTGAGTTGCTAGCGGTAAATGTATCAATATACAGTGTTCTCCTCGCACCAAAAACGCATATGAACATTTTGCGGTGAACAACAAGGGCCCGAACCTCAGAAGGAGATTCAACTCTCCACAGGTTTTGACATTCAGATAAGTCGCTTTGCCCCGCGGTGCTTTGGATTACTGATTTACCAAGCCAGGGGGTACCCCCCGAACACCTCGAAACTGGGCCGCCATCAACTTGCAACTATAGCACATCGATCGGATTGGACTGATTCGCATTCATGTCTTGGTTTTTGTTCACCCGGGCTCCCACAGGTTCTGCCTTCATGCCAGTTGTTTTTGTTGTTGTTTTGTTTTTTATTTTCAGAGGTCTACCTGTCCTTCAAATCTAGTTTGCCTTCTTACGGGGGTCAACCAAGTTCAATAGTTATTTGAGTTCCCACGGTTCGGTTTTCATTTTCAGGAGTTCCCGGCAGATCCAACTAGTGGAGTTGGCCTACGACTTCACCAGTGAGTCACTGACTCACTCCCTGGGTTGCATTGACTGAAAAGTCACTTTTTGGGCTTGGACCATGGTGACAACTGGCAAGTTCTCACTTTTTGGGCCAACCCACGCAGGAAGTGATATGCTGCCGTTTGGTTCTGGACAAGCAGTTGGCGGCGACATGTTTCACCACCGACTTAGGAGCTGAAAGCGCTTGGACTCAAGCCTGTGGACTACATGCTCGCGCAGGCGGTGTGGGTTTGTCTCAAGATCGGGGGGCCAAAAAGAAAACACGTGAAATTGCCTTGGGTTCCTGGTTAACTCCGCTCAAGGGACACCCTCAAAAGAGGACACGCCCATGTCTGTGTTAGTTTTGTTTTTGTTGTTGGGGCGCTGGTTCCAAGAGGGTTCCGAAGTTCTCAATGAAGTTTGCTTGATTGCTGTTGATAGTTTCAGCTAAACGACATTCTATCTTCCTGGAGTTTCCAGAAGGGGACATGGCCACAGGTGCCCTTTTAGGCTAGCTTGGCCAGAATTTGAGGGGTTCCACTGGTTTAGATGGGTTTATGAGCCATTTACCAGAAAAGCCCTTGTACTGTGCCAAAAGGTCACCCCAAGTTCAAAGGGTGGAGACTGGAACATTGAATCCAACTTTTAAATTGCACTCGCCGGCTCCGTCGCTCATATGATCTGAAAGTGCTTTCCTGTTGCAACCCGAAACACTTCATCCCCTAAACATGTCTTTTGAATCACATGCACTTGTAGAGAAGTTTTTTGTTTGGTAAGTTCAGGTTCCATGTTGCGTATTTCTTTTGGCTTCGTTTGAATCCACTGTTCAAACCACTTCGGCGTTTCAGCTACGAAGCCAGGTATGTTGACGCTTTCTTCCAAACGATTTCCCCTTGACCCATGTTAAAACCACGGTGTTTTCTTGCCATAAGCGGATGGGCCTGGACATTGTCCAAGGTGTTTTCCCCATGTTGGACCCGAAGCCGGGCCGTTGCGCTGGACCCGCTTTGTGGAACCGGCCAGGTGAAGCAGGAGAAGTATTCCCACATCCGCGCGGTGGGCGGCACCAAGCGGTCCTTGCTGGTGGCGCTGGTGCTCAGCAGCTGGGCGTTTAGGGAACGGATCGCCAGGTGTGGGTTGGGTGGTTTTGTTGGTTGGTTTTGGTTGTTTCATGCTTGTTGTTGGTTGTTGCTCGTGGTTGTGGTTGTTTCATGGTTGTCGTGTGGTTTCATGGTTGCATTTTTGAACTGCTAAGAGTTATTTGTTTGCTCCCCTTCCAATGTCAACCAAGGTTTTGTTGGTTACCTATACGGGGAAAAGGAATCGCTGGAGTCACTTCCAGGGGCGAAAAAGGAGGGAAGCGCGCCATCTACTTTGAGAGAACTGTAGCTGATTGTGTGACAAGCTTATTTGTCGGCGTCGGGGTGGTTCGGAGTGGTTCCATCTAGGGTTCCGGAAGGGTTCCTGGGTTTGCGGTAGGGGATGCTACCTGGGCTTTTTGCATCGAGCGACCGGTGCTCTTATTGCCCGTGTCCAACTGTCTGACCAAGCTGAAGAGGGACTTTATTCATTGTGCTTCATGGATTAGTTATTCCGAAGAACTGTCTTGACTTTTTGTAATCACTAATTTGGTGAACAGAAGTCAGATCTGGCCACCTACAGGATGAGCACCTTACAAATATTGTCGGTGGCAGACCAGTGTTGCCTCACCTTTTGGCGGGGCGGTTTGTTTCCATCAAAACCTCAATAACATTGATTGACCAACTGCCCTCCTGGTGCCACCACCCCGTACATATCCCAATGACTACTCCACCACCCCTAGGGGGATTTGGTTACGTTCCCTGACGCTTTTGGAAGGTGTTGTTTCGATCCCCCCCAGCCCTCCCAAGGATGGCCAGGCCACCGGGCACCCACTGGCCGGTTTGAAGCAGGTTCCACTGAACTGGGGAAGCCCATGAAGGAAATTGCCAAAAATTAAACGTGATTTGGGGGATGCCTGGGGACCATTCATCGGAGAGAGGTTGTTTCCAGCAATCACGGAAGTCGCCGGGGGGGGGGGTGTTTTTGAACACTGCCAGTCCAATCATTTGAAGGCGACTCTGAGTTTGTCAATGATGCCATGTTGCTGGGTGATATTGATAGAGTTGTTGCTGCTTCTCCTCGATTGAATTTGAAGGCCTTTCTCTCTCTCGGCTGGGCTTTCTTGCTGACTCCCTTTTGCCGCAGCTTTGGCTCGAGTTGCTTGGCCGTCGAGTTATCCCACAATTATGTCCGATGCCCATCCTTGAAGCCGCTGTTTAATCTCCATTGTCCGCTGTGTTAACGGCATTTTCACATGTGGGTTTGGGGGTATGAGGGTTACTTATATAAGGGGTACATACAGCATTCAAGCTTATATAGGTGGTTTGTAAGCATGCATCCTCCACAACCCGTACCTGAAATGCACTTGACTACGCCTGTTTCTTAAGAATGCCTGGTTGCTTTGCACCCCCTACAACTCTACCCCCCGAATCGCTTGCTCTCAGGAAACAAACCACGCACCCAGCATCCGAATGGCTACAATTGATTGCAGAGCCGGACAGCTCTCCGTTTTGGGGCCTGTGCTTGTCTGGTTTTGTTGGTAGCCTGGTATTTCCTTAAAAGGGCGGTTGCAGACGACTGCGCCCGCGGATTGCAAGGCCCCGTCTCCCTCCGTGCCGCGTTTCTTTTTTGGTTCGGCGCCATGCGGCGCGGACCCGGGCTGGCGGGCCTGATGAAAGGCGAGTCGTAGACCCCCCAAAGACCTGGGGCGAGAGGTGGGGAACGAGTTTCCGGGTGGGGAACCGATTGCGAGGATTCCCTGGGACAATGGGATGGATGGTGTTACTTGGGGTCATTCCAACTCATTCCCAGCTGAGAATCAGCAAGAAGATGTTCATCCCGGAGTAATATATAGCGGGGTGGGGGAAAAATGGTTTGAATCCCCAGTGAACCGGAGCCACTCCCCTATGAATCCACCGTGGGTTTATGAATCCGGAGTTTCCATAAGTGGCATGAATTGGTAGTTTGGGGAATTGAACCCCTGCCACGGCCAGAAGTGAGTTGCTTCACTCACTTGTCCAAAGAATTCGACCGGTTCTGACCTCGTGCCTTTCCTTTTTGTTGTTTCTGAGGTTCCAAAAGGTGATCACCTTGCAACTGTATTTCTTCCCGGCCCTTGGGCAAGTGAAATAATGCCAACCCCGCATCTAAGCAGAACCCGGGGGAGGCCTGCAAAAGTGGGCTAACACCCACAACATCAACCAGGCGGTTGTGCATTCCGGGGGGGACGTGATGGGAGGCTGGGTTTCTGTCTGTTCAATAATATTGAGTGTGTGAATCACAGATTGCGATTGTCTGTTGTAGAGGGAATCCGCAAAAGTAGATGGCAAAGGTTATCTGTTACCTGGCCCGGATGCATCCTGTAAGGGGGCGCAAGTCTTTGCTGGAAACGAACCAGCGAGGATTGAGGATCCCTTTTCCGCGGGGTGTTTCGGAGGCAAACTCATGTCCCAACAAGACCCGGCCTGACCCCTGGATCCTTTCGGTTTGAGTGACATTCTGAATGGAGTTTGGTGTTGTTTTGAATGGCAGAGTGTCCCACTAGTCTACGGAAGTCGAAATATCGCAGGGAGGACCTGGCGCGACAACTTCCCCTGTTTTGCGTTCCAGATGAAGGGAACCGCTCAGTTGAGCCACTCAGAAATAGGTTGGGAGGGTGGCTGTTTTGAGGGCCCCTTGGGTCTAACAAGTGCATCAGGCCGGGAGCAGCAGAGCGCCCTAAGCGCGGTGGGGGAGCAGATGGAGGCACGTGTCGGTTCGTGGTGGGCCATTTCTTTTGAGGGTACCCATTTTCATCTTCACCCCCCCTCAAGGTCGACTGGTTTGGGGAAAACCATATTTTTGGGGTCGTTTGGGGCTCCCTAGGATCAATTTAGACCTAGCCAATCCTCTGGCCAACAGGACTGCAACAGGAAAGTAAAAGAGGAAGCTGCTTTTTCTGATTTTCCACGCTGGACTGGAGAGGGGCTTGATTAATCAGAGGGGTTTTGTTTTGTTTTTGTTTTTTGGGGGGGGGCTAGCCTTGAAGGGGGGGGTACCCTGTACGAGCTTGTCAAACCTTGCTTGGTTTTTTTAAACAAATCGTAATAATAAATTTGCTGTTTTCGGCTTGGCGTTCTTCTGGAATGACAATCCTTGAGACTATGAAAGGAGTTAGTATTGGCAAAAGTATTGGAAATAGCTTTGGCAATGTCAAAATTGTATTTGTTCTGCATTTTGGCCGCACAGGGGCGTCTTTAATCAGAGGGTTCTGGAAGGTGCCCCAACCATCAAGAGGGAATTATTGGCCAAACCTTGTGGCAGGGCGCCTTTAAAGTAGTATTGGTTGGCAGTCGGCTGGGAAACCGGGGCGTCTTTAATCAGAGGGGGTTAACTAATCAAGGTGTGACATTAGTATTGAACATCCATGACGAGGATTTGCTTAGTCCTTTACTTCCCTTTGCTCAAGAATGTGTTTTGTGTTTCCCTGGTTTTAAAGGGGGCCTATGACTACTGGACAGTTTTTCCAGCGGATGTAAGGAGACGTTCCTCCTTTTGGAGTTTTCAACTAAATTTGCGGGGGGGGGGTGAACTTACAGTGTTCGATCAATATTAGGTTTGAACTATGATCGGCACACGCAGGCCCAGCATAAAGGACATGAGCTCGGGATGGTTGTGGACCCGCAGTCCAAGGCATGTTGAAGTTTGTGTTGGGTGTGCCCAGACCGGAGCTTCTTGTTGATGCAACCAGGGGTGGCACTGGTACAATGTGTGCGTCGCGCTCGGTAAAGAAACCGAGGACTCCGAGAAACAACTAAAGAGGATTGTCAGAGCCGGTGTCCAAAGTAAGGCAGCTGCCTGGTCCACTTGCGGCAAACAAAAAGCGACACATTGGTAATATCAAGTCCTTTTTTGACTAGAGGACTTTCACTCGTCCTTGTCGAACAGCACCAGCCGGCGCCCGAAGGCGGACAAAACGCAGCAAGCCACCGCTCTACTGCAGTCCCTGCAGACTGCCCTCCAGTCCTTTGCGGCCAAGCACCGCAGCCGCCCTCGCCTCGGTAGCGCACTTGCGCGGTCGCCGATCGCGTGGATGGGGTGCTACGCCATTGAATCCCTTCCTCGAGTACTTGGCCCCATTCGGTTTTCCTCGTTTTGAGTTTCAGGCGGCCCTTTGAGCAATTCTTCTCTTTGAATGATTTTGGTATCGGACAAACAGGTGTGGTACCAAGTCTTCGCTTGCGAGCCTTTAAAGACAGCATTTTACAAGATGCTTACGAAGGGGGAACCGAATTTGGGGGTACCTGAAGATTGGGGAAGGTTGAAAGAGCAACGTTAGGGAAGAATGAAGTAATTAATTACCTTCTCTCCCACTAACGTCAATTTCTTCTTGGAGGGACCCCCCATCAGGTGCCATGGTCGTGGAAGGGAGGGTAACGCGCTTTGCGCAGTCGCATCCAAGGGAATCAGCTTGCATATTCGGAAACCCGACGCACCGTCCCGGACATCTCAAGCAAGCATTTCTGATTGGAGGGTGTCATTTGCTCACTTGCATAAGGAGCAACTGGGCTTGCCAGGCACCTTGCTAGCCAGAACCTTGCAGTTGCGTCGCGGGCAATCTCATGACCGGAATGCTTGTCCCATCTCCGACCCGCGGAGTGGGCCCTTTGCAGGCTCAAACATCAGCAAGTCTTCCCCGCGGCGTGCTTGAGCCCATCATTAGCCTCAGTATATTGAGCTAAGTGGCCACATGAAATGCTCAACGTTCTTCGGCCGTTGCTAGAACAATCAATCTGCAAAGATGCTCAAATCCTACAAGCACGTCCACATCTTACAACGTCCGATGAGGCAAGGTTTGCTCCACCATGTTGGGCCAACCTCACCCAAGCTGCACTTCGAATGTAAGCCAAGAGAAACGCCTCAAGGTGGCCGCTGAAAAGTCACCATTCTCCGCTCAGAAACAAAGAAGCCAAGAGCTGGTCTCACTCCTGAGTGATAACCAACATGTTGGTTTGCCACTAAAATGGTCCAACCCCCAACAACGTTCAGAAACTCAAGGAGTGAGTGCTCAACAGTGCTTAACTAAACGGGGCCTTCCAGCACTGGGCAAACCCCCCCGAGCCTGCCAGGATGAAACCAACAGAAGGCCGGCCCCACTCCCATCCCAGAGAGGTCCATTTGGAGAGTTACATGGGCCACTGAAAGAGTCCAGGCTTCCGAAGTTGACCTCGATATTTGACGCGACCATCAAACTTTAAGCCTGTCAATGTTGCTTTCGCAAATTGCTGGAGCCCACTTAAAGCTTTGGAATCCCACGGGAGTCGGGTTGTCACGAGGCATCAACTCGGACCCCAAGTTCCGGCAGTCCTTCTGCGAGATGTGCATGGCTGTGGGGGTGGACCCTTTGTCCAGCTCCAAGGGGCTTTGGGACGAGCTACTGGGGGTGGGCCAATTCTACAACGACCTCTCGGTTCAGGCGGGAGTCAGGGCACGTCTTGCTTGGCGGAAGCCAGGAGGCGCCTTGTTTGGATCGAGTTCTGTTTGGAATGGCGAGGGGAGGTTTCATGCTATGAAAGCAAAAAAATCCACAGAAGACCAAGGGAAGGTCTTTGTATCGTCCAACTCTATGGCAGGTGCTGACGCTGTGCCTGCGCACCCGCGACGAGAACGGGGGACTGCTGGATTTGGGGCAATGTTTGGCACAGCTCCGCAAGGGAGCTACGCGGGAGGCCGGGCGAGGGTTCGCAAAAAATGCGCCACAGGAAGGTGATTTGCAACAACAAGCATAAGGTTGTGTAAGAGTTTGTGTTTTTTTTAGGGGGCCCAACCAACAGCAGAAGCATAATGTTGTCTTTTGTCTAAAGGGGTTGCCAAGCGGTAACCATTAGAAGGAGTTTGCCTGCAATATAAAGGTCCTTTCAGTATGCCCAGATAAGGCGGTGTTCCAGAAGTTTCCTCAAAGGGAGTTCCCTTAATGAAGAAGGTAATGACAAATTGGCTATCTCCAGATGTTTGTTCCCTTTTCTACCATGGGTCAACCCCACAAAGAATTTCCTAGTCCAGATTACCTTAGGTCATGAATTATTTTTCAGCTATGCTGCTTGTGCCAACACACATGAATCGGCGTCCGATTTGATATTTCACCCTGGTAATCCACTGGGATTCCAAACAGGCTACATGCAAGCACGCCGAACCTGTGACGGGAACTGCCAAAACAGTCGCTGGCCCGATGTGTTTTCTTCTCCACTAAGCGTCCATGGCGCCCCCAGCACAGGAGTCGGCCCCCCGGTCAAACGGATCCAACGCGGATCAAACGCAGGTGTCTCAGGAGGACGTGGAGCGGGCCGTGGAGTGCCTGGCACAGCACCTCGGAAGTTGAGTCCTTGCGGGCGTTGAGTCTGCTAACGGGTTTGTCTCAACATGACCCTTTGGTTGGTGGAGGTGAAGTCTCAGTCTCCCGAAGACGACCTTTCGACCTTGTGTTTTCCTAATTTGGGCCAAGGTTTCGAAAAGGTTCCAAAGGTTAACCTTTCTTTCCAGGCCCATTGAGGCAAGTCAGAATTAGGTGGTTGTGGAAATCTACTAGGAACTCTGAGAGAGCCCCCTGGCAAACCCCAAGAAACACGACCCGTTTGCCGGTACAAGCATTGGCCTATGTTTCCATTGATTTCAACCCTTCATCGCGGGGACGTAGTGTTCCTCTTAAATTGCCTACAAAGGACGAGCACAGGCACGCTTTCCAAGCAGTCTAGTGGGCTTGGCACCAGCTCCTCCAAAACGAGTATCAACTCCGCAAAAGACACATTTCACATGGCTGTTTCTCAAAACTGGAATCGGCCCCCCTAAAATGGCCAGGGCGTCCTTTGCGTTTCCTGCAAATGCAAACTAAACCTGTGGTCTCCTCCAAGCCTGGTTTGTAATTCAGGTCCCAACCCCAAAAAACGACGAGCCGCCCACATGGCGCACCCGGCGCACCCAGCGCACCCGGCGACTTCGCAGGCTGGGCCCCGGGGTATCCATCCGCATTTGCGGCCGCCGGCCGCTGATTTGCTCCACCGTGGAGGCGCGAAGCCGCGACTTCTCGAAGCCATTTGAGACCTAGCCACGAACCCTGAATATTAAGCCAGTGTCAGGGTAAATGGGTGTTTCAAATCCAAATGGTGTTTTCAAAGTTTTCTCTGGGATGTGAAAATTGGTGAGGGCAGGGGAGGGCAGGGCAGGGGAGGAGCGGGGGGCGGGGGGCAGGGCGGCACAATAAATCTGCGTGCAGTTGCCTAGGGAATTGCAACAGACAGGGTTTCCTGTTTTCCTCAGGCCTGCCAGTTTGGCTCACTGGCTTCTTTCTGTTTAAGGAAATGTTTTTCACGTTTTGCACAAACCTTCAACTTGCAATTGAGACACAGGAAGTCCGTGGGATGTTCCGACTGACTGGGTTTTCAAACCATGTTGAAAGCATGATGTTGCCCATGTGTCCAAACATATCCAAAAATAACATTTGGCTCCAGCTGAGGGCATGAAAAAAACATTGTGCTAAATTGTCACCAGCATGTTTTGCAGATACACCGTTAGCATGCTTGAAGATCCTTGCGTCAGGGTGGCATTACTTGTGTTGCTAGGGCTTGGGACCTAAAACATGGCTTGCAAACCTGTGCAGGATCCATCATTTGTTATATTCCTAGGTAGCCTGAAAGCTATGCCTTGTTCAAGGCCGCAGGATAAATATCGAAAGGCGACCCTGGCTCAAGGCAGTCTGCAAATTAGCTCATGGAAGAATAATGGTGGGGGCTCCAAAAGTTGTTGTTATTTCAAGGCGCTTGAGTACGGGCGACAGGGATGGGCGGGCTGGAGGGCATGCTGGGGCATGTGACCTGTCCTCATCATCTTCATCAGAGGAGCGGGGGGGGGGGGCAGGGCGGCACAATAAATCTGCGTGCAGTTGCCTAGGGAATTGCAACAGACAGGGTTTCCTGTTTTCCTCAGGCCTGCCAGTTTGGCTCACTGGCTTCTTTCTGTTTAAGGAAATGTTTTCACGTTTTGCACAAACCTTCAACTTGCAATTGAGACACAGGAAGTCCGTGGGATGTTCCGACTGACTGGGTTTTCAAACCATGTTGAAAGCATGATGTTGCCCATGTGTCCAAACATATCCAAACATAACATTTGGCTCCAGCTGAGGGCATGAAAAAAACATTGTGCTAAATTGTCACCAGCATGTTTTGCAGATACACCGTTAGCATGCTTGAAGATCCTTGCAGCAATCCTCTATGTTGATGTCCTTGCGTCAGGGTGGCATTACTTGTGTTGCTAGGGCTTGGGACCTAAAACATGGCTTGCAAACCTGTGTAGATCAGGATCCATCATTTGTTATATTCCTAGGTAGCCTGAAAGTTATGCCTTGTTCAAGGCCGCAGGATAAATATCGAAAGGCGCCCCTGGCTCAAGGCAGTCTGCAAATTAGCTCATGGAAGAATAATGGTGGGGGCTCCAAAAGTTGTTGTTATTTCAAGGCGCTTGAGTACGGGCGACAGGGATGGGCGGGCTGGAGGGCATGCTGGGGCCTGTGACCTGTCCTCATCATCTTCATCAAGCACATCCGCTGGGGGAGCGGTAAAATAACCCAATGGTGCAGAGATTGCACAGGTCCGCTGAGAGAGCGGTTAAACCTCACCTGAAAGCGCTGAGAGAGCGCAAGAGCTGCTGAAAGAGCGGCCAATGATCTCAGACTGCAATGCAGTTGGCCAGTCTCAGACTGCAAAGGTTTCTCAGCAGTGTGCAACAGGGGTCCCATGCTTTAGGGCTCACTTGAAACTAATATTGCCATGATGGCTTACTCTCAAATTCCAAGTATGGACTTTAGTATTCACTCTTGCCAGGACATCCATTATGCACTTCAGTCACAGCAATATGAAACTTAGCATTGCATGCCCTTCATCTCAGGTTCTCAGTATTTTCTCAGAGTGTAATGACTTCTGACAGGTAACTCGCTTGGACTCAATCACAGGCATCTTCCAAATGCACTTTTGAAAAGGCGCCAGGGGAATTTGTTTGCAGCTGAGCTTCAACTTGGGGGAGAGTTCAAGAGTTTCTGGACCAGCAGGTTGTTAGGTTACAAGCTTATCAACAGCTTCCAACGGTCGGACAAAGGCATTCGTCAGCCTCACCAGCATTTGGCCCAGCCTCAAATGAGTGAATGAGGCACTCTCTGCAATTCACAGGCATGCACTGCTTGCATTTCACAGGCATGGCGGATGGGTATGGGCAGTGGCTGCCCAGTGGCAAGTTGCCCAGTAATAGCACCCCAGCACAGCTTCCCTCACTACCCAATTAGGTTATGGAATGATAAGGTGCTACTTGTACAGTTTCTTGTCCACTGCCAAGAGGCCACCAATCCTTCCCCTCAGCCTTTGCGGCAGTGCCTGCACAGTGTGTCCCTAAGGAGCAAGCCAAACCAGACTTAATGGTTTTGCAGAAAGGCAAGACACCCATTCCAGCTAAAACACAAGGGTGGTGTGTGCCTTGCCCTTGGAATTTGGCAGCATCAGCTGTAGTTGCAAAGAATCATGACTAACACATGAAAACACTTAAATGCAAATGTAAGGTGTGAGTTGTTGTCAGGAGTACACAAGCCAGGGGCAACACCCAATGTTTCAAGTCAGTCATATTCTGTTTTTGCAGGATGTTCCTGCCAGCAGTTGGCAACATGTTTGGACAGTTGAATGAGTTTCTTCACAGGGCATAAGGCCGTGTCTTTGCTGAACAGAGCTCATGATGTTGGGTGCCTGGTGCCCTGTTGCAGCTGTGAGTCCTCCTTGCTAGCAGGAAGGCTTACATTTGCTGAGGGTTGACTTTTTGAGGCAACTTAGTTGCAAAGGGTTCAGTTAGGACAGGCATAAAGCATGGGCCACCTGTAGTTCTGATAGCTGCAGGATGTGAAATAACTAGGCATGTTTTCAGATCCCTGCATTGTAAGGGCTCCACTGTGGCAATGTGATGCCTGGCTAACTGGAAGCCAGAAGAGCCAAAAGCAACTTGACAACCGGGAGCCACAAACATTTTGGGGATTGAATGACAGCTGGGAATAGACCATTCCCCAAGACCTCATAGCCTAAAATAAAACCTCCAGTGATCCTGGCACCCTCACTGAGCTGCAGGCTGGCACTGGCTTGCAGCTGCCTGGCCAAGCCAAGCCAGGCCTGGACAGTGAGTGGAGGGGGCACAATTGGCACTGTATGCAAGAATGGAGCCAGTTTTGACTGGTTCCACGAGCCATGACAAATGAGATTGGCAAACACAAGGGCTATCAGGGGAGGCCAGAGACATTTCTGCACCCAGAGATTGACATGGATTTAGATTGAGTACGGAACTCAGGAGCATTGGTTGGTCTGGTGACACCCAACAGGTGGCATCCAACAGAGGGGGGTTCGTGCAAAAATTGGAAATTTGCCTTTCATGTGCCCGTGGCAGCCGCGGCAGCCACCATGGGCGCTACCCACCCAAATTTTACGATGCCACGAGGGAGCTCCTTGCTACAGGAAAACGCAAGTCAAGCCAGCCGCCGCCGCTTCTTTGGTGACACCCCTTCAGAGCTCAGCCACATTGTTCCAATCAATGGTAGCCACAAGACATGCGCCCCAGCAACCGTGGTTCTGAAGCTGGTGAGATCTGGAGCAGAGGGGCACCTTCCCAACTTGTTTATCAAACAGTTTAAAATCAGTAAAGAACATGCAGTATTATTGCATCCAGGCAGCAGAGAAGCATGACATGCACAGCAGGCAGCATGGCATGGCATGCATGGAAGTGGATGGCAGGCAGCCACATGTCATGTTAGAACCACTGAGCACTGCCTGCCTTGCAAGCAATGGGTGGTGCTGATCCAAGGCCTGGCAAAGGTGACAGTCTTCGCGGGGCAGATCAGAACAAAGGCCACAACAAGGGCCAGCAGCAAACCACAAGGGGCAAAGGCCACCAGAATCGCACAGAACGCAGGGCCTTGCTAAGCACTGTGGCAGCCACACAGCAGCTCAATGTGACCCTCCGAGAAAGTGAGCAGGCTGCTGCCAGTCGCCTGGCAGAAGTGCAGGGTCAACTTCAGCTTGCTGTTTTTCGAGCAGCAGGCGCAGAAGCAGCAATGGCATCAGCTCAAGAACCAGCACGAAGGGCAAATGCAGAGCGTGACCATGCGCATCAGCAGATCCGGGACCTCAATCAGGAGCTTCGAGCTCAGATGGAGGCAAACCGAAATCTGCAGCTCAGGCTGGACATGACCAACAGGGAGCTCCAGTCAGTGAGAAAGGCTGCATTCCAACTACAAGGCCGCTTCGATGACACGCTCCGTGAACTCTCCGCCAGCAATCTTGAGCTGTCCCGCACCCAAGCCCTGCTCTGTGACAAGCAGAATGAGCTCAACTCCATCAAGCTGGACAAGGAGAAGAAGAAGAAGAAGGAAAATAAGAAGGAGAAGAACAATGATCCTGGACCACCTCCTGGCAAACGAGGGCCTGATGGAAAGGCACATGAAAGCTGAAAGGTGTTTGTCAAATGACAAGGCTCACAGAACATGAATATAATGTTGACATTCCTTTTCTGCAAGGGTAGCCAGGCTGTGCAGGAAAAGGTAAAATAAGTTGGGAAAACAAGTCTGTGAACACTGATCCATGGGAAAAAACAAACTTGGGCAAGGTAGTTTGCATACTCTGCTTCCCTGCAAGGGTGGGGGCCGTGGGCGTGGCGGTGGCAGCGCTGGTGCAAAGATCCAGCGTGTGTGCTGAGGAGATGGGGGCTCTACAAAAAGCAATTGAAAGTTCAACAAGTGAAGGCTCAACCAGTGGGACTGATGGTTCCCTCATTCAAGTATAGAACTGTGGTAGGATCTGCAAACACTGTGCAGAAGCCAGCCGTTGCAACACTTTTCTCAAACAAGCTCTCTTTTTGCAGGTCACCCAATGTATGTAATATGTCATGCTTGAATCTTTGGCCCTGCCCTGGGAGGAGCACAGATGAGCATGCCCTGAGATGAGACGCTGCGTCTTTGCTGCAGTTTCACACTTGGCTGGTTCCCCCAGTGGCTCATTCCTAAGACTTATCCATTACAAATGACAATGA